TTTCGCAGGATAATTTTGGTTCTGTGATACACCCGATGGTTATGAAGAAAAACGCCAATTCTCATTTTTGGGTACGTTCCCATTTTTCCCGCAAGTCTGTTTCTATCTGTGGTAACACCCTGAAGGTAGATCTCCGACAGGTCACCTGACGTCACAATCTATGACAGTCTGAGGTGGCCATCACAGCACCCCCCTATCTTCAATCTCGGGGCCTGAATCCGGATTGAAAGATACAAGAATGACATCAATTCCCCAGATTGTATGGAATTGTGAAGTACTGATGAAAAACATGAGTTAAATGAATTGGGCCGAAACGTACAGCGACTGCCATCAATCAACGAACGCTTTGTGTTTTGTAGTTATGAAATTTGGAACGTCTCAGTCACCAAAATATCTCATCCGAGCATCAACCGCCGTACATAGCGCACTCATAACCACATTTTGCACGAGAGCAATTCAGGAATTTTGGCAACTATTCCCGAACGACGAACGAATGACTACACAGATGACGAAAGGTGTACGGAACATGTCACTCCAGTCCGCCTCGGCGCTAAAACAGCATTGTTGTTGTTGTTGTTGTGTCTCACATTCGCTCTTATAGTCTAGACTAAATTTAGTCCACAAAAAATGGGGAGCCCGTGGTTTCAAAACCCGGCACATACGACGCCACGGGGAAACAAAACAAAATAGGGTACATATGAGACTGTTGTCTCCAGGTTCGCGTGTGAGCAAGTTCCCTTAGGGATGGATGGGTGGTGTGGATACACACCAGATCAACCTCTGGAGGAGAGACTGATGTACGAAACGTTGAGTTGAGTGTGTGTGGCAGGTGGGGAGCAACCTTGTGTTGGAGCAACGTTCAGCATCCAACCTGCACTGACTCTATCTGTGGTAACACCCCGAAGAAGGTAGATCTCCGACAGGTCATCTGACGTCACAATCTACGACAGTCTGAGTTGGCCTTCACATCACCCCCCTATCTTCAATCTCGGGGCCTGAATCCGGATTGAAAGATACAAGAATGACATAAATACCTCAGATTGTACGAAATTGTGAAGTACTGCTGAAAAACATGAGTTAAATGACTTGGGCCGTAACGTACAGGAGTTCCATCAATCAGCAAACGCTTTGTGTTTTGTAGTTACGAAATCCGAGCATCAATCGTACATAGTGCAGGAGAAGAGCAATTCAGGAATTTTGGCAACTATTCCCGTACGACGAACGAATAACTACACAGATGACGAAAGGCGTACGGAACATGTCACTTCAGTCCGCCTCGGCGCTGTAGGCAACATGTGATCTACCGTACGACGAACGACGTGTGAACAGGAGAAACATCACTCCGGTGCGCGTCTTGCATCGATAGCGTAGAAAAACTGTACAGTAGTACCTTGAGACAACGCCGTGAGCTGCTTGATAGTTGCACGTAAAGAACATCCAGCAACGAAAAATAATTTGACATTGCACATACATGTGAAAGGCGATTGCTTGCAAGGCTTAAATTTCACAAGTGTCGAATGGCAGATGACGTGGGTCGACCCGCTGGGAAAACGTTGCTCAGACGATATGCAGCGGCAACAACGAACTAACATATGTGCACAGCTCGTGGAGAGCTAACGATACGACTTTCTCATGCGATCGCGCAAAAGAGTGGTGCTGCATAGACGAATGACGACGAATGGTGATTACGAGTACAGCCAACGATGTGCTGTAGCATGGATTTGACGCAGTAGTGGAACGACAGTCTGGTCCTCTTGTGCTTCCTCTTGCACGGCCATGACCACCATCTACTCTTTCGCGATGGACGACACGCGAGAAACGATGTGTGGGATGAAAATCCACTACACAAACGACAAGACAAATCGGGCATGAACAAAACCGTGTGAACAATGCAAAATTGCATGGATCAATGAAGTCGATCATCAATTGCAATTCCCCCAAACTGCAAGTGAGACGATATCACCCCCCAATTTAGGACGGAGTGGACGAGAAAACGACGAACTTCCGATCACGCATATTCGCTCACATTAAGCATCAACTGACGCCCATACGACGCACTCGCATCTCAAGGACAGCGACACAATGGCAATGGACGCTTCACACCACGCACGATTGTCTATACACGGACGTACGTTCCAATCATAATTAAAAACGTTTACGGAGCTCGCACGAGGTACTATGTCGTACGGCATTCAGAGAAATAATCTTTATGTAGGAAAACTAAATCACACAACGAACGTGCAACGCCATGTCTTAAAAATGACGTGCGGTAGTATGCATGTCCGACGAAACGAAGACACGCAACCATGCTTGGTTCGCGGAGGGCGAATCTCGACGCAAACTAGGCTCCGCCTGCCGACTTCCACGAGGTGTTGCATACAACGTGGGCGTATCCACCAACAACGTCAATGTCCGGCCGGACTGCGAAGGAACGTTGGGGACGGCGGGCACAACGGAACGATCGTGCTGGACGACGAACAATAACATATACGATGTACATGCAATAAATAAGAAATAAACATACTGTGGAGAGTAATGTGGAGAACACCTTCAACAACATATTCGCCTGATTGAGAGCGTAGCATCTGATTGAGAGCGAGATTGCGCGATACGCTGTAGCCGGACTACCACTGAGAGGTGGAGCTTGCTGTGTAGCTTGAATTGAAGGGCTAGCCCGTAGCTTCAAGCCGCTACCCTGGTCATCCTGTGGGAGTCTCTCGTTGTGGAGCTACAGCGGGGAGCAGAAGCTACAGCAGAGCCCACCGCCCGACGCGATACCGCCCTGAAACAGTTTGAGCAGAAATAGCCAATCTGGGCAAATCTAGCAACTTGTCTAGCTCCTCGCTGCAGCATCCGATGACGATGACACGCATATGCTCGCGAAGCTGCTGATGAGACCTTCAATTTGCACCGCTTCTTGGAATAGCCCGTCCCCTACTTGCCAAGAAATGGCCAGAGGCGTCTGGACCCGAAATTTCAATTTTTTTGGCTCTCGCTCTCAATCAGATACTTCGCTCTCAATCAGGCGAATATGTTGTTCTTCATAAAGGTTGAAACTCCCCAACGCCTGTCGAGGACGAAACCCTCTTTTCCACAATGGCGTCGACGAAGAGACGTCAGGTGTCTGCTTTTGGTTGCAAAAGACACGGGTTTCAAAACCCGCTGCTCACCTAATTTTCTTCCGGAGTAATACGGAAAAAGAAAAACGGTGGGTGGGTCAAGAAACGATGCACTGTCTATCGAACTCGAAACTTCTGGCAATGCGTGGCGGAAGTGGCGAACCCGCACACAAGCACAGAAGATTGTTGGAAAAAAAGGTGGTTCTACTCGCCGCCAGCCGGTCGGGTTCCGGTTACCCCAAGGAGACTTCTCTTGCCTAGCAAACAAGAAGAAGCCTCGAAAAAGGGGGGGGTCATGTGGAGAGTAATGTGGAGAACACCTTCATAAAGGTTGAAACTCCCCAACGTCTGTCGAGGACGAAACCCTCTTTTCCACAATACAGCCCTTGTAAAATAAACGAAACACGAAACGAATAAGGCAAACACAGCACGAGACACAATACGAAGCAGCTACAAACGCTACTTTCTAGGAGGATGATCAAAGGCGTGTGGATTATCACGAAGCACGCACGCTCGATATGAACGGATCATCTCATGACACTTGGGTACTTCTTTGAAGTGCTTCCAACACCCAAGACTCTCAGGACGGTCTTTGAGGAGGAAATAATATTGGAAGTTATGGAGAGACGATTTTCCTGCTCCACGTATAAATATGTCGATCCCCTCGACGGTGTATGGTCCAATTTTTACGGTAAACACGGTACCATCCAAATCGGGAATTGGAAGGGTTTGTCCCAAAAACATCTCATCCAATTCAGAAGAATCGGGGACAGAATCACGTTGAAAATCATAGTACTTTTTCATACGACCCAAGTGTACTGACGTTTCCGCAAGTTCTCCGTCTTTGCAAACACGATAGATGACGGGTGACACTTTTGAACGAACGGTGAATGGGCCATGCCAAGGGCTGATCAGCTTGGGATTAGGGCCATCAATAACGGTGTGGGGACGATGTACGAGAACTTGTTCCCCAGGAGTGAACTGCGGTACGGGTAATTTTTCGTTCGAGTCTGCTTGCTTGTCAGTTCGCCCTTCCAAATTACGACGAGCGATCTCATACGCGAGTTGCAAGTTATCAACGGTACGACGTGAATATTCCATCCGCGAAGCAGAGCAAAGAGACGGTACACCAAGAATGACATCCACGGGAAGCAAAGCCTGGCGACCATACATTAGATAGTGAGGAGTTTCCTCAAGAGTTTGGCACGCGGTGTTATGGGCGAGTTGCACAAACGGTAAAAGCTCAGCCCAATTATCAAACCGAACGATTGCATACATTGCGAGCATGACATGCATTGTGCTGTGCACGCGCTCTAATACAGAGTNTACATTAGATAGTGAGGAGTTTCCTCAAGAGTTTGGCACGCGGTGTTATGGGCGAGTTGCACAAACGGTAAAAGCTCAGCCCAATTATCAAACCGAACGATTGCATACATTGCGAGCATGACATGCATTGTGCTGTGCACGCGCTCTAATACAGAGCTACCTCGCGTCCGATACGCGGACGTCCGAGTCCTTTGGAAACCAATCACGGCCTGCAATTCTTTGACCAGCTCATTCTCGAAGTCAGTACCCTGATCACTGTGTAATGTTTCAGGGGGAGAAAAAACGGAAAGGACACGCTCTACGAAAGCCTGTGCAATTGTTAATGCTTTTTTATCACGAATGGCAATCAACACGAGAAAACGAGTCAGGTGATCGATGACCGACAAATCATACTTGCAACCCCGCGATACGGAGTTATATTCAACGAGATCGATCGCGACATACTGAAACGGACGAGTAACGGGACGATGACCCACAGGTAATAACGGTCGTCTGTGGGACGTTGTTCGGTGTTGGCACGACAAACAATGCTGGATGTGTTTGGACGCATCTCTAGACATGGTCGGCCACCAAAAGCGATCTCTGGGTCTATCGTACGTGGCTTTGAACGCTAGATGACCCCCTGACGCAGGAGCATCATGACAAGAATCCAAAACTAACGCACGCAAAACGGTGGGAACAAGTTGACCACGGCATGAACTGCGTTTACGAAGATACCCTGGTAAATACGACCTGAATAGAACGTTCTCATTCAAGAAGTAACTACTCGTGGTGCCCTTATTTTCGCTAGACGGTGACGGTGCTGTTTTGGGTTTCTTGACGTAGTCGATATACGGACCGAACTCTTTGTACTGTTCTCGTCGCCATTTAGCGGGATCCAGTACAGGAAATAACGATACAGCACTAGCGAACAGTTCATTGTCATTATGGACAAGATCAACATCGTTCAACGAATCAGCAGAATTTACGTAGTCACGAGGGCCAGGAGGATGGTACGGACGATCACTCGGCACATTCCTACAAATCGAGGCCGGTTTGTGAGATATGGAGTCGGACTCGATTTCGCCAAATAAACGAGAAAACGCATCGGGTACGACATTCAATTTTCCCGCGACGTGTTTGACGGTAAAATCGTAATTTTGAAGAGCCAGCCCAACGTGTGAGCATGTTGCTGGTGTCTTGCATATAAAAAAAATGAGTCAACGCTTCATCATCGGTGATCACCGAAAAGTGTTTCCCAAGTAAGTACGGTCGCCAACGCGAAATTGCAAGAACCACACCGCAACACTCTTTCATACAGAGTCGACGCAGAGTAATGACGCTGTCCATGTTTGAATCTCTGACTATAATACGCAATTATGTCAAGAGGCTCTGGATCAGCCTTGGACGGCTGGGCAAGAAACGTGCCACACCCATGTTCGGATGCATCCACATGAACGACGAATTCCCGATCAAATTCTGGGAAATGTAAAACGGGTGCTGAAGTTAATAACCGCTTAAGATGAGCGAACGAGGCTTCGTGCGATTCGTTCCAAGCTCTTACGAAACGTGATTTTGTGGCGTACTCTTTGCGAGTTAACTCCACCAACGGATTGGTTACCTCTGCATAATCCGGTATGAACCGGCGCACAAAATTAACCACCCCGAGTACTGAGCAAAGATCTTCAAGGCAAATAGGGCTAGGAAGGTTTTGGACGGCTTTAATACGATCCTTCCCGACAGAAATACCTTCATCCGAAATAATATGTCCCCAATACTCGATGGACTTGGGGCCAAACGAAATCTTCGAAGGTTTCAATGTCAGACCTGCTGCTTGGAGAGCTACTAACATGCTCTCCAAAGACTTCATATGATTCTCGAAAGTTGCTGAAAGCACACAGAAATCATCCATCCATGTAAATCAACAATTCGGGAATATGGCCTAACGTTTTATGGGCCATCTCAGTAAAAATCCACGGGGCGTTACAAACACCAAACGGCATCCGCTTGTAACAGTACTTGCCAGAGTTGGTGACAAACGCTGTCCTTTCAACGTGGTCAAGATGAACAGGAATATGCCAGTACGCTGACTGGACGTCTGCAACGCTGATGAACTTGGCGCTGCCGACAGAGTCAAGGCTGGACTCCGTGTTCGCTGGAGGCCAGGTCTTGCGAATGATGTGCTTGTTGACGGTGCTTCGGAAATCGACGCAAAAACGAGGTTCACCGTCTTTACGTGCGACGAGAGTAACGGGGGAACCCCACTGACTAGGCAGCTCTCCGATATGTGATCGTCAAGCAACAACATATTCGCCTGATTGAGAGCGAAGTATCTGATTGAGAGCGAGAGCCAAAAAAATTGAAATTTCGGGTCCAGACGCCTCTTGCCATTTCTTGGCAAGTAGGGGACGGGCTATTCCAAGAAGCGGTGCAAATTGAAGGTCTCATCAGCAGCTTCGCGAGCATATGCGTGTCATCGTCATCGGATGCTGCAGCGAGGAGCTAGACAAGTTGCTAGATTTGCCCAGATTGGCTATTTCTGCTCAAACTGTTTCAGGGCGGTATCGCGTCGGGCGGTGGGCTCTGCTGTAGCTTCTGCTCCCCGCTGTAGCTCCACAACGAGAGACTCCCACAGACAGGATGACCAGGGTAGGTAGCGGCTTGAAGCTACGGGCTAGCCCTTCAATTCAAGCTACACAGCAAGCTCCACCTCTCAGTGGTAGTCCGGCTACAGCGTATCGCGCAATCTCGCTCTCAATCAGATGCTACGCTCTCAATCAGGCGAATATGTTGTTAAGCGTGTCCTCAACGCACGTTTGGATAACGGATTGCGGGTTAACGTAGGGACGACGGTTAACCGGTTTTGTGTTAGGCGACATAGGAATCGTGGCTTAGGCAGTTTTGCATTTACTAAGCTCCTTACGATTCAGCGAAAGAACGGGACGATATATTGCGCACAGGTCCAAAATACGAGTTTGCTGTTCGTTAGAGAACGCGGAATTTGTGAACGCTTTCAGCAGCGGTTCTACCAGCTCAGCTTTAGCAGCAGCAATTTCACTCGCGATTTTCGGAGACGACGCAACAGCGTGGACGTGAAGCTGTTCCTGTGCTACCATAGTAATCGGCGATAAAGTTTCAATATCCAATCCAACATGTACGGCGAGATACTCAGATGACGGATTCGAAATTTGGACCAACTACCGAACCATCAACAGCACTCCATGTTGAGAAGGTACGAGCCACGAATAAACGTTCAAATTCGGGCGGAACAGTATCCAACGAAAGTCCATCTGCCGACAAAATACGCGGCTCGACTACTACGGCGGTATCAACGGACGGCATGCATTCAGAAAATGCTTTTACGATCATCGCATGACGAGGGCCAATATTATAACGTTGACGTAATTTGACTGAGTGTTCTTCCGCATTTCGATGAACGGCTGCAACACGGGGGGTCGGCGACGGATCAGCACCGTGTTGAGATTTTTGACGATGAATAGCGGGGACAACAGTGTCACTACACTCAAAAGTCAAACGTTCATTTTTCCAGTCAAGTACTGCCCTAAACCGAGTCATTGCATCATTGTCGAGGAGTACTTGATCAGGACCGAGCGATGCTACGACCAACGCATCGATTCGGCGGGACACGTCTCCCAACCGAACAACGAACGAAATAAATGCCAAAACTTTGACTGGTGCACCATTTGCGGCACTGAGTTGTAGGGACGGAGACGGTATTGGCTCTAAACGAGCAAACGGTAACGATGGGTGCTGTTTCAAAAACGAAAGTGAAACGCACGTGACGTCACTTGCAGTATCAATGGTGATTTCAGGGAGAAATTGACCATCGATATATCCGGAAGCGCGAACGCGTTTGGATGAAAAAGACAGAGACAGACGTTTTTTTTCGCGCCAGCGCTGAGCTGTTTCACGAAACACGTTGTTTAATTCCATCCGACTTCCTCTTCCTCTTCTTGCGCTGCGATGAATTTTGCGGTACGGCAACAATCCTGTCAGCCCTTGTTTTCTTGGCCCTCTTACGGTCACGCGATGCCATAGGGGACTCTCTATCAACCACTTCTAAATCGGCTGCGTTAAGTGAACGCTCTAACCTTCTAGCGGCTGCGTTTGACGAACGTTTTCACCTTCAATGTGGTTGTTCTACGACAGGGGACGCATGTGCCTTATTGACATGTTGCTTTGTACCCTTCGAACACGATCTATCACTCGGAGCACTAGATGACATAGACGAACGCGCAAGTGACGAAAAACGGCCAAGATCTTTCACGCCCTTACTGCTAATTTCTACGGCAACAGCAGATTTGTTCCCAAGTATTGCGGGCACAACACCTGGGCACCCCTATTCGGAGTCCGACGAATCGTCCTTCTGCTTTCGCCGACGATGTTTACGGGACCGCTTCGACGCGGAACGACCCTGACGATCTACTTTCTCCGCGATCCGCACCCAGCAGCGCTCGATCGGGTAAGTCTTGTGCGACCGACAGGAGGGGTGGGCGCACGGATCGAACGACGGACGACGCTGACCACCACCTCTACCCGAACCTCGGCCACGAGCTGCGGGCGTTCCACGTTGTTTTGTCGGCGGACGTGGGGTGGGTGACTTCCTGAAAGTCATCGTCTGCTTAGGATGCACAGCCGCGGGACGAGTGGTGGTAGACGATACGGAGTGAGTTGCCGAAACAGTCAGTTGTGACGGGTTCCGACTCCTCAAGACGACGCGATCGATCAATGGCCTCCTTGAGTGACTTCACGGGAGTGTATCCCCGCTTAAGTTTACGGACTTCGGGGGTCAACCCATTTTGCCATAGAGCTACTGTCATACAATTCCAAGCGGTACGACTACCATCACGCTCAACGGCAGCTTGAAACCAGTGCGGAAACGAAGAGCATACGAGGGAACCGATTCCTGTGGCCCTTGAACGAACGTTGCGAGATTGTGTGCCTCCTCCTCAACGGAATTTGCGGGAAGAAGTGAATCAAGCAAAACAGAACACATGGCGTCCCACGTGGTCGGAGCGGGAAACCTCCCTTTTTCCTCCGGTTCTGTGAACGTGCTTGCCTTAGAACAGTCTAGCTGTCCAGACAAGATCTGCTGTATCAAGGTCAACACCTCTCCTGTTTCCACAAGGGCAACGTGCTTGAGTTCAACCCCATCAGCATACGACGAATCCGTGTTGACAGCTGCGGCTTCCAGCCCAACCACCATACGAAAATGTTTCTAGATTTCTATCAAATTCTCGGTGCGGTCTCCAGTCAGCTTAGGAACGCTGCGGAGGTCAGCCGCGGATATTGAAACGGAAGTTGCTTGTAGAAACGTACGGACGGGGGCTTCGGTTGCTACAACAGTCGATGCCACCTGCGACGTTGAAGTAACAGGTGGTGCTACGACGGACGATTGCGCATTCGTAGGTGCAACCTGTGCTGTTGAAGTAACACGTGACGCTACGAGGGACGATTGCGCACTAGCAGGTGCAACTTGAGATGTTGAATAGCTGCGGTTGCACTACTAGACGTACACGACACCGAAGTAGTCGTGTTTACGGGCGCAGTGAGCGACGGACTTGGCGCGGGATTTGGTCCAACTCGTTGCCTGCGCGGACGGAACGAACGATAGTGCTCCAGGGGAAAATGGTGTCAGCCTGGGCAAAGACGGAGCTAAACACGGAACGCTTGAACTTACCGATGGAGGTGCAGTTGCACCCGTTCCACGAGACGATGCTCCACGAGACGACGTATCTGACGCTGTTATGACAGACGATGAGGCAGTCACCGACTCCGTCAGGAGACGCTGCTGCCACGCGATGGTAGCTGGCGATAGCTCAGGAGGAGTCCGCCTGTGCCGCAACGCTCGGAGGTACGCCTTCACCTCCTCCTTGCACGTTGCCTCCAGCGACTGCAAAGACGACAACCGGTCCACACCATCATCATCATCTGATGACTGGCGTGACCGAAGCCCCTCGGCTTCCGAAGACAAGGACGAGGACGACGATGGAGACGGCGACGGCGGGCCGGCGGGCGATGTTGGGACTTGTTGGTCTTCGTCCTCCCCGTTCGGCTCGAAGTCGACGAGCTGCTCTTGGTCCCCTTCCTCTTCCTGGAAGTGGACCTCTCCAGGTTTTTGTTGTTTCTTTTTCGTCTTTTGTCTATTCCCCATGATGGCAACTGCCGCAAGGTAGTGCCACCAACGCAAAAAAAACTCGACAAACACACGTAACGCCGCTGACGCCACTATGAGACGGTTGTCTCCAGGTTCGCGTGTGAGCAAGTTCCCTTTGGGATGTGTGGTGTGGATATACACCGGTTCAACCTCTGGTGGAGAGGCTGACGAGTACGGACAGTTGAGTTGTGTGAGTGTCTCAGGTGGGGAGCAACCTTGTGTTGAAGCAAGGTTGAGCATCCAACCTGCACTGACTCTATCTGTGGCAACACCCCGAAGGTAGGTCATCTGACGGCACAATCTACGACGACAGTCTGAGGTGGCATTCACAGAACATTTTTTTCGAAAGGAAACAAAACCTCACAGAAAGACCACCCGTTCGAAATATAACCTCAAGCGAAGGGGATGTGGTCAAGTCTTTTCAGTAAGTGGATTGAAACCAACAGGAGACTTGGCTTGTTTTGAGTGTGTGTAAGCCCAACACTTTTTTTGTTGCACATGTACTTTTTTTAACTTTTGACACAGGAACATCCAAGGTCATGGGTTCGAGTCCCGACAGAGTGAGTTTTCTCGCACTAATTAATTCCTGGTCTCCGTTGGAAGCGATGCACTGCAAAGCGCGTTGTTAGTAAACAAACTTAATCGACTTCATAAGGCGCGAGCGAAGGGATTGCTGTACCCTTCTCGTGAAAAAATATCTCAGGCAGGAACCGCAAAAGGGCGTCCAACCCCCCCCTCCTGTGTGACCCCGGTTGGGTCGTCTAGCTAGTAGAAGTAAGTGGAGGATAGGGGCCAGATGGGCAGACAACAGAATCCAATGATGGGAGGAAAAAAAAATCCAACCAGCACTCACACCAGAACCATCGTCGGGCACACCTCACGACAAAACTATGTTGCACGCCGGTCACTGCGTTAGATATGAAGACTGAACCAGCGCCATGTGGAATCCCCTGTCGGTGAACCTGGATCCTTCATACGTAGATGCCTTATTGGTGAACTCTTCTTGTGGATGGAAATTTTGGGCGTCAGTACAACCTACCGTGAGTGAGTGTCTTGCACGATATCAAGGATAAGAATTTGTTTTCCCACAACTACATACATCGCCCGGTCGCCCCGGTGGTCTAGTGGGTAGCCTCGCAGCCTGCTAAGGGCCAGGTTATGGGTTCGAGTCCCGACAGAGTGAGTTTTACCTCACTAATTAAAACCTGGTCTCCGTTGGAAGCGATGCGCTGCAAAGCTCGTTGTTAGTAAACTTGATCGACTTCGTAAGTCGCGCGGGAAGGGATTGCTGTACCCTTCTCGCGAAAAGAATATCTCAGGCAGGAACCGCAGGATAGGGCCCAACCCCCCCCTCCAATGTGGCCCCGGTTGGGTCGTCTAGCTGTTGGAAGTGGAGGATAGGGGGCAGAGGGGCAGACGACAGAGTCCAATGATGGGAGAAATAAATAAAAAACAGTACAACTACATAGTACATGTGTTTTTCTCTATGCTCCAGCGGGCTTACAACAGGAATTGATGCCGCCTCACGAGAGAAACAACTCAAGAAAACAATGTATTGTTGTATTACATGTAAGTTCAAGGAATGAATGAATAAGTATTGAATAGAGAGACAGAGTGAGTGAGTGTGTTCTCTCTCGCAGACCACTTTTTTTGTTGGAAGTGGTTTGATTTTGTGAAAGGGAGGTGACTTGTACAATGGGCGATTTTGGGGACCGGTAATATAGTTCTGATCATACGCGGGAAGCTACTACTGCGAAGAAATCAATTACCTGCGTGATGAAAATGAAGTATACACAGCAGCAGCAGCTGTACATAATCATACATAGTCGTGAATGATTGGTGAAATTTTTTGTATCACGGGGCACTCACGTCACGCTGCGGATAGTATGTACTGCAACATATGCTATGCTGCAGCCTCTCATCTGCGCGAGCGCGGGAGACTAGACAAAACTAGAAAATATACGGGCAACCCCTTGCCCGAGCTACGATTGCTGCTATGTACGTTGTCACAAGTCCCAACTTCTTAAGGAGGCCAAAGTTCAAGAAAAAAGGTTGACTGTTCGGTCGTGGGCGGCATTTTCTCTTCAACAAATAACTACTTGAACCCGCTCATACACTTCTAGTTAAAAAGGAATTTGATTTCTTCGATCTACACACACGCCACCAGCTACGTACGACCCAACCAGACCCCACATCCATCCATGCGCCATCGTAACCCGCCAAGTGTTGTTGTTGTTGTGTGTGGTGTACTCTCTCTCTCGCAACTTCAACAACAGTCAAAATATCGAATGACAACCCCAATGACCCACCCACATTTGACGTACGTCTGTGCGTCCCGTCCTGCGTCTCTCTGGCACCTTGAGGCACAACTGTTGGCCCCCCTCAGTCTGTGCCGATAATACAGTGCACAATCAATCCGCGTGCGCACGTATTGTTGATTGTAGTCTACTTGATGGTCATCACAAGCCATGCGTGCCACCAACTTTGTTAGTCCCAGTCGACCCTTCGCGCAAAACATGTACTACTGCTGCATGCATGGTGGTGAACAGTATTGGTTGGTCTTGTAGTTTCCACGCGCAAGGAAGGCAGCATCTATGAACAAACAACCCTCGAAGTCACCCAATCCCAATCCATCCATGAATACGCGGCATACTCACCCGTCAGTCAGGTGTGTGTGGTGTACTCGCTCGCGTGCGCCAGTTTTTCCGCAATTAATTTTGACTTTCTCACGAACGTACACACAACACGCACAAAGGATGGATTTCCCGGTAGTTCGCAGTCAACCATGCGCACAATGAAGTCCGCGTGGTGACTATTATCGACCGAACCATATGCACATGCACCCGAAAACGCGAATGATACTGCGCGCTCTGCAATCTCTGCGAATGGAATGATGTGTGACATTTTCACGTTCTCACGAACGCTGTAGTGTATAATAATAAGGTTGCGGGTCACCGCACCCCTATGCAGTCGATTTTCAAACATTTCCGTCGTTTGATTTGCATCGCACCCCTGTGAGACGACTCCGGACCATGCGACGACTGCGGACCGTGCGGTGACTCGCAACCTTACGGTACACACAACAAGCTAACAAGCCGACACACGAAGGACTCTGACCACAACCTGGTGCATACGACTGTCCGCTCCCCCCCCCGTGTCGCACCCAACCGACGAACGCGGGGAAACAGCGGAAGCAGCCG